ACTCTGCGGGGGACTTTGAAGCTTTAATCTCAGATCAGTGGGATGGGAGACATTGAATGGGTTTAAGCTGGATGCCTGAGACAGTCAGATTTGCATTTCAAATAGCTTCTTCTTACTGAGAGGAACTGCATCTGCTAGCAAAGGCGTCCAAGCCTCTCCAGCTACCAGAGAAACGGAGCAATGGTACAGTGGGTAGGGCTTGTAGGGAACTGACTCCGATTTGAGCCACAGCTCCATATATAGTTCCTGAGCAGCATCAGGAGTGATCCCTGGGCACAGAGCCAGGAGTAAACCCTGAGCACTGCCAGGTGTGATACACACACACACACACACACACACACACACACACACACACACACACACACAGGTTCAGAGAACTGATTGTGACAGCTGAACCCGAGATGAAGGATGGAAAGATGGGGAAGCATGGATGGAATTGAGGTTTTATTTGCTAGGACTACTTGCCAGGTTCAGTACTGGTATGATTACCACAAATACCCCATCCTATGCCTGATGGTGACATCCATGCCCTGATATCTGCTGGACTCAAGGACAACAAAGTTCTTTAATTGCTTCTTGTATGTGTCAATGATCAGCCTCTCTGGTATCTCAGAAGAAACTGCTTCCCGCCCTGCTCCAGTTCTAACAATTTCAAAGAAGGAATGAAGGTCCACCTAGGCCCCTTTTGTGTGTGTGTGTGGAGGGGGGGGGGCTCTCCTGACGGTGCTCAGGGATGCCAGGCCTGTGCTCTACCGCTTGAGCCACATTCCCAGCCCCTACCTAATCCTCTAACAAGAAGAAAAACAGCAACTTTCCTGCGGTGTGAACCAAAGGAGTAAGTCACCGATAGAACCTTCTACAAGGATGCTGCTGCCAGCTGGGCCCGGCTCTGTGCTTCAGCCCAGTGGAGCTGATGCTAAGCAGGGGCTCTGCAGGAAGGAGCATGAACAGCAGGACACAGAGTGTGGACACAGGGGTGGGGGAGCGTGGGGTAAAAAACTAAAGTGGTGAGTGACATCCTGAGGACATCTGTACCTAGAGACATTTCTAAGCTTTTCTAAGATGTTTCCCAGGTGTCTTTTTCTTTGTTTGGGGGCCATACCCACACCCAGTGTTTCTCGGGGCTTATTCCTGGCTTTATGCTCAAGGCTCTCTCCAGGAACCATAAATTGTGCCAGGGATTGAACCCTGGTCGGCTGCATGCAAGGCAAGAGCCTTAACCCTGTCGAATCTCTCTAACCCTTTCCCTATGTCAACTCCCAAAACCCTATTCTTCAATTCAGTCCAGAACCTCCCATTTCTCCTTCCATCATCACCTACCCTGCTCCTTGCTTTAGTCTCTGTCACCTGTCCTTGGACAAGTGCCACTGCCTGTTTACATTTTTTTTGAGGGGGGTGGGTGGGGGGGTGGGGCTGACCAGCAGTGCTTGGGAGCCTGAAGTCTATTCCCAGTGAGATTCAGCCTGGTGGCTGATGGGTCTGACAGGTACTTAAAATTTAAAATAAAAAAATTTTTGGCCACATCCAGTAGTGCCCAGTTACTCCTGGCTCTACACTCAGGGATCACTCCTGGTGGGTTCGAGGGACCATATGTGGTGCGAGGGATTGAACCCAGGTCAGTGACATACAGAGCAAGTGCCTACCCACTGTACCATTTCTCTGGCTCCCCAAACGTTTTTGTTTCTGGATCAAGCCTGGCAATGCTCACGGCTTACTCCTGGCTCTGTGGTCAAGGATCACTCCTGGTAATGCTCAAGGGACCATTTGTGGTTATGTTGGGGATTGAGTCTGGGTTGGTTGTGTGCCAGGCAAGCATCTTACCTGTTGTACTCTTTGACCCTTGACAGTGTGGCTTGGGCCAAGCCTTGTTGGGCAACAAGGTGACACCCAGGCAGTGCTGGGTTCCAAGGATCTCATCCAGCAGTGCTTGGGGGGCAGGGGTGGGGGACGAGACGGGATGCATGGTGCCAGGAATCAAACTTGAGACTGTGAGACTCCTGCATCCAGGGTTGCATTCTGGTATCCACAAGGTCTGTGGGGCCCGGGGTATGCCTGTGACAGGACAGAGGTCACGCCCCATCCATGTGAAGGCCTGGGCTCCATTCCCAGCGTTGCAACCCGGTGGCCAGAAAAAACTCTCCATCTGCGTTTTATTCTTGGAGTGAAGTGCAGGGAAGCTTTACAAGCCACAGAGCCCCCGCAGGAACGTGACTCAGCAGTGGCACTCTTGTTCTGCATGTGTAAGACCTTTGGGGGTCTTAGAAACAGCACCCAGCAAGGCCAGGAGCAGGTGGAGAGATGAATTATTAGGCATGGGGTCTAGAACTGCAGGACAGAAGGAACCAGCAGGGAGAATAATGGGTTCAGCAAGATTAGTGGGGGACTAGGATTTAATAAAAGGGGCTGTTGTGGAATCGTTATCTCCTTAAAATGATCAAGAAAATCCCAAGCAATCTGATCCATTCTTGACAGATGGTTGGTCCCAGATGGCCCAGTTAAACTCAGGCACACCGGAAATTGGAAGTACCTCCCCCGGGCCCCCCAGCACACCTTGGGATGGGGGATGCTCAGGGCTTACTCTTGGATCTGTGCAGGGGATTACTCCTGGCAGGGCTGGGGGGGGGGCAGTATAGGGTACCAGGGATTGAACCCGGGTCGTCTGTTGCAGAGCAACCACCCTACTCCGATTCTTCTTCGCCTTTTCCCCTTGCACACAGCTGACCCTGGTTTGATCCCGGGCACTATATATGATCCCCCCAACACTGCTAAGAGTGATCCCTGAGCACAGAGCCAAGAGGAAGACCCGAGCACTGCCGGGGTGACCAAACCATCATCATCATCATCATCATCATCATCATCATCATCATCATCATCATCAATTTTAAAGTCACTGTGCTCCCATTGTTCATCGATTTGCTAGAGCGGGCCCAGTAACATTGTGAGACTTGTTACTGTGTTTAGCATATCGAATACTTCACGGGTAGCTTGCCGGGCTTTGCCGTGAGGGCGAGATACTCTCGGTAGCTTGCCGGGCTCTCTGAGAGGGGTGGAGGAATCGAACTTGGGGTCGGCCAGGTCGGCTGCATACAAGGCAAACGCCTTACCCGCTGCACTATCGTTCCAGCCTAATTTTAAAGTAAAGTAGAAAGAGAGAAAGGAAAGAAAGAAAGAAAGAAAGAAAGAAAGAAAGAAAGAAAAAGAAAAAAAAACAGGGAAAGGGTCAGGGTCAGGAAAGCCCTGGGTTTGATCCAGGATATGCCAAGCAACCCCCATCACGAGTGATGGTGTGGTCCAAGCTTCTTGTACAAAAGACCCCCTGGGTTTGTAAGTGGCATTTTGTAGCTGCCCCAGAGAGGGTCGCTACCTCTCTTTCCCCGGCTGCTCCTTACTGGTACTTATGCTTCTGCATGTATCTGTAGCAACCAGCCAAATCCTTTTGTATACTTTGTATCCTGCCTCGCCTAAACCTGATACACAGGCTTAGCGAAGGGGCGAAGGGCTTCAGGAGCTAACTCCGAAGGAGCCTGGGGCGGGAGAGCGCCGGGTCTGGCCGCTGCCCGCGGCGGCTGCGGAGACTGACCTGGGACACGGGCCGGTCGTCCCGCACATGCGGCCATCTGCGCGGCGGTCAAGTGCACAGTGGTGGGGACGGGGAGAGACGAGGGAAATAGAGAGGAGGGAGCGTGAAGATGAGTAGCCGAGGCGGGAAACCAAGGGGCCTGGTCGGGGAAGAGCAGGGACCACACCCCCGCCCCCGCCCCCGCAGGTGCGGGGATAGGGACCCAGGGGTCGGCCGCGGACAGCAGTGGGGGGGTGGGGGGGATGCGGATAGGGACCGCGGGGCTGCGGATAGGGACCTCGGGGCTGCAGGCAGGGGTGTGTTTTGGGGGCGCGGGGAGGGGATTAGACACCAAGGGCCAGAGGCGGGAGTGGGGATAGGGACCGCGCAGGCTTTCCGGAGGGAAACAAAAGGGCAGGAGGAGAGGGGGCGAGGCCGCGGGCGCGCGGGGAGAACGCGGCGGGCGAGGGGTGCCCGGGATGCGGCGGATCCGCCCGCTCGGGCGCTCTCCCGGGGACCTTTCTCCACCACACCCTTGGGTCGCGGCGGAAGGTATGGGGGTGACCCCAGGTGCGAGGCCTGCGGTTCTAGGAGGGAAAGTATGAGCCACAGAAGAAGCGCCCCTGGCTGACCCCTCTCGGCGCCGCCCAGGCTTGAATCAACCCGACTGTGGGTGGGAGGGGCGACGTGAGGGCCCCTAAGGCTGGAGGCTGCGGCGGGGAGCGCGGTCCGGTCCCCTCTCGGAGGCGACACCTCCACTCTAACACCTCAAGCTCGGGCCCAGCCCTGCGCCGGGGCTTAGGAGGCACAGACGGCTTCATTGGACGCCGCGACCCCCGCGACTTCCTCCGTGCGCGTAGGCCCCAGGCTGCCGCGCGGCTGCGAACGCAACCCCGCCCCCTCCCCCATCCGACTACTTTGAGAGGGAGAGGGGCAGGGCCGAGCGCTGGGAGGTCCTCGAACCCCCGACTCCGCCTCCCTCCATCTTCCTGCCACAGACACCAGCTTCTGGGGTTGTGCCACCAATATTTCCAGGCTCACGCGCTCGGTCTCTGGTTTCCGACGCATCTGGCAGTGCCGGGAGCACTTCAGGCTACTCAGGGGAGCAAACCCGGCTGTTCGCGGGCTCCCCAAACCTTCCTCTCTTGTGCCACTTTCCTACTTGCCCTCGGCTCCTCCCGCACTTCAAGCCGAGCCTTTTAGGCTTTCTGGCTTCCGGGGCGCGTCGGGACCTGATCCTGTCCACCAGGCTGGTCGGTCCCAGCTCTCTAGTAGTTGCTGGTTTGGAGTTCAGAAGAATGGGATTTGTACACTGGGTAATCTCTGACATTTCCTTCCCGTTCCCAGGTGGAATCTCCCTGATTCTGGGCTGTCTGCCCCAATCTTTGCTTCCCCCCCCCCCCTTTTAGTACCCCATGATACAGACACACAACTGCAGAGCTCAAAGAAGAAAAACAAAGTAAATTTGTTGTTGTTGGTAAGAGGGAACAGCGGGAGGGGTTCTTCAACCTTCCCAACAGCTCATACAGCTGGAGAGGGACATAGAAAAGACAGTAGATGGGGGTGGGGGGTCACACTGTACAATATAGAAGAATCTGATATAGATATTTTGTATAAAAGCCACGTGTCCTCATTTGTGTTCTCTTGCTGGCTGGCAGAGTTGGGGGGGGTAATGGGGGCAAAGAAGCTAGATCAGGACAGGACACAGGGACAGCCCATGGTCCCCATCCTCTGGCTGTCCCCAGTTGGGTCACTTTGGATCCTTGGTGGGGGCATAGCAGAGTTCCAGTGGCCGCGACACCTTCCAGAACTTCTCATTCACCAGCTCCAGGGTCAGCGAGCCATTCAGTGTCTAAGGAGGGGGTAGAAGAGATGGGCGGGGGCGGCAGGGAAAGTGGGAGAAGACGGGTGAGAAACGAAGGCGGGAATAATGAGTGACCAGGAAGGAGGAAGGAAAAAGGAAATGGACAAGAGCAGCAAAGCCAAGCACAGGATGGAGAAGGAAGATGGAGAGAAAGAAACAAGTGTTGGTCAGCCGGGGTGTCAGGACCAGGGCGGGTTACCAGGTCCCTCCTCCCAGCACACCCCCCTCCCCCAGTTCTCACCGTAAAAGCTCCGCCCCCAGGGGCGATGTAGATGGTGTACTGCTTTTCGCTGACCCCCTCCAGACTGGGCAGGGCAGGCTCTTCAGGGCCATCACTTCCGGGGCCTCCGCCCTCCCCACCCCCCGCCTCAGGGCCCCCAGCATCCGAGGCTCCCCCTCCAGGCCCTCCTGGCTCCCCTGCCTCTTGCTGCTGCCTCCGCTCAAGGGCGATGCGCAGGGCCAAGTACTTGGAGAGATGGTCCACGGTGGCATTCCCGGTGGTCTTCACATACCTGGGGACGGAAAGGGGGCAGGCTTAGGGCACTGCAAGCCTCCAATGGTGGAGGGAACGGGGTGTGGGGGCCTTCCCAAAGGGACTCTGGGTTGGGGTGTCTCTGTGGGTCGGACGGAAGTCTATGTGATCTTGGGTTCAGCAGTGGTTTGGGGGGCGGGGGCAGGGCGCTCACCTAGTCTGGCAGTATTCTCCCTTCTCCACGAGCAGGGGGTGAGGCCGGAACACGAGCTCAATTTCTCCACCTGGCTCCGGAGGACTGGGGGCCCCAGGAGGGCTTGGGGGGCCCAGGGTTCCTCCACCCAGGGTCCCTCCCCGGTCACCAGAGTCTTCAGAACCAGCACCCCCACCCACCCCACCAGCGCCACCTCCCCCTGTTCCTACACTGCTCCCCCCTGCACCCCCGGGACGGGGCCGCTTGGGAGCAGGGCCGGGGGCAGAGTCGGGGGCAGAATCTGAGCTCACGTCCTCTCCATCCCCTTCTCCCTCCCCAGGCTCTCCTTCCCCCCCACTCATCGTGGTGGTCTGATCTGAGCCGGGCATCGGCCGCCTCACGCGCTGGGCCCTGTAGAAGCAAGTGGGTAAGGTTAGAAAGGATGAGGCTTTAAGACTTGCCCCTGCAGCGAATAAGACATCAGAGAAATTACATGACAGCACCTCAGGTTTATTACACACTAACTATGCCGTTCATACAATGCCTCACATAACACGAATTCTATTTTTTTTTTTTTTAAGATTCTATTTGAGACTTAGACAGGGTAAGTAACTTTGAGACCAGAGTCCCTTGCCTCTCCAGACAGGACCTAAGAACCTGCAGCAGAGGCTTGTGGACATGAAGGGTTTCAGGCCCCTCCGCTCCAGACATACTCCATGGGATTTGGCAGTTGGAACCTGCCCCTCTGGTCACTGGCAGACATACAGACATACTAAAGATGTGGCTTTGTGTGTGTGTGTGTGTGTGTGTGTGTGTGTGTGAATCACCCACAGAGTGAATGATGCTCAATCACTCTCCTGACTCCTAGGTGAGTTGATCGTAAGGAGCATGGCCAGTTTCAAACTGCCATTTCCGGGGAGGATGTCAGTCAGGCTCTCCCAGGAGGCTGTGGGCATCTCTGGGGCTGCTCAGGCTCAGAAGGGAGCTGGCAGCAAAGAGCATCAGGAGTCTGACCCAGCTGTCCCCCCAGTCCTGCTGCCCGCCACCCTTCTGTCCCGGCCCCCGCACCTGTGCAAGGCCTGCATGCGCAGCCCCTCCTCGATGCTGGAGCTCAGAGCCTGCTGGTTGTGCAGGCGGCTGAGGCGGATGAGCACCCGGTCTTGGTGGGCCTCGTACTCCTCCCGGCTAGGGTAGATCTTAGAGATCAGCGCGTCGAAATTGGGGTCTGGCCGCAGAGAGCGTTTGGAAACCAGCTTCTTGCGGCAGGTAGGGCACTCCTTATTCCTGGGGGGGTGAGAGAGAGGCCCAGAGCATCAGTTGCCCGCGTGCCATGGGGCAGCCCCAGATCTGTATCTACCCCCCTCCCCCCTCCACCAAGCTCCAGTGATTCCTTCCATTACCCGCTGCGCAGGGCTGTGACGATGCAGTCGGAGCAGAAGCGGTGCAGGCACTCCTTGGTGGTCATCGTATTCTTCAGCATGTCCAGGCAGATGGGACACATGAGCTCTGAATGCAGTGACCGTGGGGAAACTGCAATCTCTGTGCCATCCATGATGGCTTCCTGCAGGTCCCGTGGGGGGCGGGGGGGGGGGGATAGAGTTAGTGGGAGGGGAAAAGCGTTTTCGAAACAAGTGGCTCGTAAAAGGAAGTCCTGAGAAATACGCTATGATGATGGAATCTGAATAGCCCTTGTTGTTGCTACCTAAGGAAGATGGGGTTTATGACAGGGGTGTTGGTGTGTTTTAAAAAAAATGTGGAACAATGGATCAGCATCCACTAAGAGTAGGAGCAGATTCAATGGCCCCTCCCCATTCCAATTATCCCCGAACAGGAGTCAGGGTGCCCGGGGGTGAGTCTTAAATGCACAGACCTATGAGACACTGAATTGAGCTATGGTGGAGATTTCGGTTTACTGTCTCTCAAACAAGGAACGCAATTGTCTGCGCTCCGCCTTTCTGGGGGGGGGGGGCGGGTTTGTCGGATGAAATGCAATGAAACGACAAAGTGCTTTGAACAGATTAAAGGTGATTCAAAGGGGGGGAGGGGATGGGGAGCGGGCCGGAGAAAACGGGCAGGGTGGCAGGGTCCGGAGGAGACGGGGTCGCGGGTGGCGGCGAGGGCTGCGAAGGTGGGGGTGTGTGGCCGGAGGGGCGGCGGGCGGGGGTGGGGGAGGTCCCTGTCACCTGCGGGGTCCGGTGCAGCTCGTACAGACTCAGTTCCCACGTTTTGCTGGCATTCTGGGCATTCGCCGGCGTCGTCATGGTGACGGGGCCCAGACCCCCACCGGGGCTCGGGGCGGCGGCGGCGGAGAGAGGTAGACTGGGGAGCGGGGAGGGGGAGGGGAGGCGGGCGTCAGGGGGCGCCCGGCGCAGACCCCGCCCCTCCGGGGGTCCCCGCTCGGCCCCGGCGCGGCCCCTCACCCGGCTCCGGCCGCCCGCGCTCCCGCCGCCGCGGCGCCGCTCTCGGACCCGCGTTGGGGCCCGGCCGCTCGCTCCCTCGCTCGCTCGCTCGGCGGCCGCGGCTCACACAGCAGCCGCTCCCGCCGCCGCCATGGCCCGGGCGCTGGGGCCCGACGTCACTTCCGCCCGGCCCGCCACCCCGCCCGCGCTCGGACGTCACCCGCCACTCGCGGCCCGGGTGGCGCGCGGCGTGAGGGCCGGCTCCCCGCGCCGCCCCGCGCCCGCGTCCCCCGGCGCGGGCCCCCCGCTTCGGAGGGCGGGGCCTGGGACCGCTCGGACCCCCGGCGGGGACGGCCGGTGGGAAAAGGGGCCGCCTCCCTCCCCCACTCCCGGGTCCCCGCGGAGCCGGCCCCGGTCCCCCCCACCCTCCCACCCCGCTGCACGCAACTTCTCGGTCACCCCCAGCCCGGGATGCCGCGGGGTGGGGGGATCCGTCGTCGCCTCACTTCTCCGGTCCTGTGAACGCAACTGCGTGCCGAGAGGTCCGGGACCCCCTTTCCCACCCGGGGCGCTCGCTGCCCCCACCGCCTGGCCTCCCCCTACCCTCTCCGACCCCGCTCTCCCCTCGAGGTTTGGGGGCGGCGGCTCGGGACGTCCAGACTCAACTCTCGGCCAGAGCCGGAGACTCGAGAATTGCGTTTGGACAATCAGGAGCCGCGGCCCGGCCCGGGGGCGGGAGGCGCCACGGGAGGGTCGGGGCGATGGAGACGCCACGCGGAAGCAGGGGCGCACGCACTACTTGGGGTCCCTCTTGGGGCGGGGGCGTGCGCGGCAGACGGGGCTGAGTGTCTGGAGTGGGAAGCGGGCAGAAACCCCCTCTAGAACTGTGAGGGAAGGGGACGGGGAGGGAAGGGAAGAGGAAGGGGCAGAGCGACCCCACCGAGGGCAGGGGGATGAGAGGGGGTGCAGCGGGGAAAGAGGCCCTGAGGGGCGTCCCGTCTCCTCCAGCCTGAGCTCGGCCTCCCGGCCTGGGGCTGCAGCTGCCAGGGGGTGGCCCGTTTCTGGGACAAGGCAGATGTGGGTCCCCTCGCCCCCGCCCCCGGGTTCCCCCTACTTCCCTGTCCTCTCCTTCAGTCGGTGGCCAGTCCTTATGTGGGCTCCTGAGTCGATTAGCGCGGACCCCCTCCCCTTCCTCCTCCTCCCAGCCCCCTCCCTCTGCGCTCCTCCAGCCCCTTTCATGGCTGGTCCATTCCCCTAATCCTGGCCCCCTCCCCTAATCCCCCATCCGACCCCAGGCCGGCTGCAGCTATTGTAAGGTGGAGAGAAAGGGGAGGGGACCTGGAGAAAGGAGAGGGTGGGGGGAGGACCACCTGTTCCAAGACCCCCTTCCAAGACCAGAATGGACACCAGGATGAGGCCTTGGAAAAAAAAAAATCACCCCTGGGGGACCATAAGAACTCAGGGTCTGGGCGGGAGGGGATGGGGGGACTGTAGGGCCAGTAGAAGGGGTTGGGGTGGAGACCCCCCTCCCTCCCCAAAAAGCCCAGAGTGTCACGCAGACACAGTGACACACACTCTCCTCTCACACCCGGTGGCGGGGGTTGCCCTGGGAGACCAGACAGTGAAAGGGAACAATCCTGCGGGAAAGGGAAAGGAGGGGGAGGTGGGGAAGGGTCTGAGGGCTTGGACACAAGAAGAACCGGAGGTGGCAGGGAAGAGGATTTGGAATTTATTAGGGTCACAGGCACCCCTGCCTCCCAGATTCAGCATTCCTGAGTCATACGCTGGCCACCCCTTTTGTGGCCTGGGAACTCCGAGTCCTCGTCAGTGGGAGACCGGGTGGGGTGCGGGGGAGCAGCAGAGTCCAGGGTCCTTGAGGCGCTACATGAAAAGACCGCCTGGGAGGGGCAGAAACACTTGGACAGATGCACTGGAACGGGCTGGGAGCCCTACTTCAGGGCAACTTCTGCCCTTAGTGGCTCCACCGGTTCCCACCCCCCATCCAGGTCCCCTTTCGGCCCTTTCCCTCCCCTCTGTGGCCTCATACCGGTGACTTCCACTGAAGCCCCTGTGATGTATCCACTGTCTTCAGATGCCAAGAAGGCGACTACATCTGCCACATCTATGGAAACGGGGAGGGTCAGGGACCTAAAGTAGTTGTCATCTCCCACCAGAAACATGGTCTCCTCCTAATGACCTGCTCGCTCCTCCCCCATCCCAGTCCTGGTGAAAACTTCTGGAGGTACCATAAACTCTGGGATCTTTGTATTCAGACCCCCTCATCATTCAGTGCTCACCCTTAGGGTCCCCCATATGTCCCATAGGGATCATTCCAGTCACCTGTAAGGAGACACGTGTGCGTGTAAGTTTCATGGTGTTTTGGGTGGAAGGAGTTTGCCACACTTTCTTTTATCCTCATTCATGACTCACTGCTTGCACCCTCCTCTTTGCCAGACACCTCCCTGTGGTCCAGGCCACTCTGCCTGCTGCTCCCCACCAGTCGCCTACCTTGTCTAGCACTTTCTGTGGCACTTTCTGTGTCATTGGTGTTGTAATGAACCCTGGGAGGACTGAGTTACAGCGGATCCCGTGTCTGTGGAAGGGAGAGTGGCCGCTGTCTCTGGAGAGGCACTGGACGCTGCTCCCTTCCTTGGGCCCCCCTCCCCCTGCTCCCACACCTTGGCAAAGGCACCCCCTGCTCCCCACCGTCCAAGCTCCCGGGCTGCAGTCTGTGTGAGCCCGATCACTCCAGCCTTGGATGCCGCGTAGTTTGTCTGTCCCACGTTCCCCACCTATGGGTGAGTCAGACATCTGGGGTTAAACCAGCAGTCCCAAGGCATGGGCGCTCTGTCCACTGGGCCAGGCTGACCTGTTCCAGCCTCACCTTCCCTACAATGCTACTGATGTTGATGATGGAGCCGTGACAACCACTGGACACCAGGGCCTGGGCTGCAGCCTGAGTGACTAGGAAGATGCCCTGCGGGGAGAGAGTGACAGGGACAGGCCATCTTAGCCAGCAACCCCCTCTCCTGGCAGGAAAGGCCGCAAGTCACAGAGGCACAGGTCACCACCTTGAGGTTGACAGCTATGACTCTGTCCCAGTCATCTTCAGACAGGTGGAGCAGGAATTCATCCCTGGTGATGCCCGCACAGGACACGACAACAGATGGCGGGCGAGAATAGCAGGCCTGTGGGAGGGGGAGGTGACACACCAATCAAGTCCCGAGGGCCTTAGAGGGGCGGCGGCGGCGGCGGCGGCGGCGGCGCGGGGCCGGGCCCAGGCTTCACCTGCACTTGCTCCAGCAGGCGCCGGGCGGCCCCCGCCTCCGACACGTCGGCCTGGAAAGCGGCGTGGGGCCTGCGGGGCGGCCCACCCAGCAGCCGCACAGTCTCCTGTGCCGCTGCCCCGTCCAGGTCGCAGGCGGCCACGGCGGCCCCTTCTTCGGCCAGGCGCACGCTGACCGCTCGGCCGATGCCGCTGCCCGCACCTGAGTGAGAGAACACGCGGGAGAGAGGGGGGGCGCGGGGCGGACCCGCGGGCAGAGGTCAGCAGTGCGCCCGGCTAGCAGAGCCCGCCCCTGGGGCCAGAGGTCACAGCGACTGCGGGGGCCCCCAGGACTACTCGGGCACCGGGCACCCCAACCCGCCCTGGAGACCCGGCCCTTCAACCTGTGACCAGGGCAAGCGCGGAGCGGAGCCGGAGCTGGGACGCCATGGCGGGCCGCCGCTGGGCGGGCCGCCCAGCACCGAGCCAATCCGAGCGCAGAAGGGGTGGGACCAGGACAAAGCCCAGCCAATGGGAGCCCGCTAGTCTGTTAGGCCATCTGGGGCCGCCAGCGCAGTCCGACCTCCCACCTCGGGGGCGTGGCCAGGCACCACAGCTGGGGGCCTAGGGAGACCAGGGAGCATGGGACCCCACTAATCCCCCCTCAGTCCCCCGACCCTTCCCCCACCAAAAAAAAAAGAGACAAAGGCTGCGCGTGGGGCGGAGATTGAAGGACTTTATTGCTAGTCACCACCCCTCCCCAAGATTCCAACAGTGATATAAAAAGAATAGAAACAAAAAAAAAATCAGGCCCTAAGATTAACAGCCCCCCAACCCCCCTCCCTCATCACTTCCAAATCAGGCCACATGATTGATTGATGGTTATCCCTCCTGTTGACTCCTCCTGCTACCACCACTGTCCAGGGCTCTGGTCTTCCCTTGAAACCTCCGATGTGGGAGGGAGGGAAAACAGAAGTCAGTGTGTGGCAGCTTGGTCCTCAAATAACTAATGGGTAGGGGACTAGGGTAGGCCACCGTCCCCGCTCTGTACCAGTCTTCATGGCCCTCCCCTGACTTAGCTCCCCAAACCCAACAACACGGTCAGCGCGCGCACACACACACACACACACACACACACACACACACACACCTTATGGTCCCTCTCCCTCTCACCTCTACAAAAGCCAACAAACCTTCCCAACCCTCATGCCAAAGTCAATGCTGCTCCCTTGGCAGTTCTCTCTAGCCAGGGCCCCCAACCTCCACAGGACTCTAACCTGAAGGACCTCGTGGCTAGAGGTTTGGGAGTGGGGTGGGGGTAGCTTATCCCACCTCTCACTCGAGATGGGCAATCAACACCATCATGGCAACGCCCCCCAGGAGCCCCAGCACTTCCAGAAGTGACTGCAATGGTGACGCCTCCCTCAACAGCTCAGGCAACACAGATACTGTCGCTATGTAGATAAAACCACCTGCGGTGAATGGCAGGACCCAGCCAGGCCCCGTACCACCTGCAACTTCACTGCCCATTGCTCCACCTTCAGTTAGGAGGGCACAGGCTGTGCCTGCCAGTGCCCCTATTGCCGTCAGGAGTTGCAGACGCATCGCCTGGTGAGCAGAAAAGAGAGAGGCACTCACTAACATCGAAGGCTTATTGGCAATTCGTATATGGCTGCTGGGTGACAGGGATGCAGAGAAAGAGTGTCTTCAGACACAAGAGAAGGAACAGGAAGAGGTGGAGAATAGATACTGCCCGAAGAATCTGACTTTTCACACACCTTCCAATTCACTGGGTCTGGGTGGAAAGGGGGTTACAAAGCCATTACACAGATGGCTTATGATCACAGTCCAAGACACTAGGAAATAGAAGGCAAAGGAAGGGAACTCCTTTCCAAGGGATCTGATATTCCAAACAGTGTGACTTGTCTGGAACTAATGAAGGCAGTCTTCTTTGAAGAGGGTGAAGAGCAAGCAAAGGGCTGAAGGCAACCATAATTGGTTCACATTACCACGAACCTGCTTTTTGCTACAGCCAGATTGGACCAAGATGGCAAAGTCCCCAACTTCATGGGGGACTTCGTGCAGCAGGACAGTCATTGTAGTCACGATTCCTAGTGTCTGACCCCCTCTAAATGAGGCACCAATAGCCAGGCCGTCGGTAAAGTTATGTGCCAGGTCAGCAGCCAGATTCAGGTACCCCGATACACGGAGATCTTGGACAGAAGGGAGAGGAAACAATTAGAGGCAGCGCCCATTCTACTGAGCCTGGGTCAGCCCCAATCACGACTCTCACTCAGGCACCATTGCATACCCAGTCCCTTCCCGTTTCCCAAATACCTGTCATTACCCACAACCCAGACTCCTAGAGACCCACAATGACCCGACTTGCCAGAGCTGATCACCGACCCAGGTCCTCACCTGACCCTCCTTTTTTCTCTTCAGAATTCTGAAGTCTCACAGGCCCATCTTTGGGTGCTGTGTGTCCTCCTTTCCTTTTTCGTGACCCCCCTCCTTCCTTTTCTTCTTCCTCTGAGCTCTGCTTCTCCTTTGAAGAACGCTCTACGGCAAGGAAGAAGTTGGTAAGCATGGGGCATCTAAGATGGGCAAGATGATGTCTGGAATCTTCCTAGACTCACCATGTTTTCCATGTCCATGACTCCCATGGCTGTGACCATGTCCATGTCCTCCTTTCACATGTCTTACAAATTTCTCCACCACCAGAAAGGCGACAATTCCACCCAACACCCAGAGACCGACTGACAGTATGGGACCCTGGCCTGGGGATGGAGAGAGTGACACATTAAGGAGGTGAGGATTCTGGATTCTTTCTCTCCATGGGCAGGAGAAGAGGAAGGGACAGACCTTCCCCAGCACCCCAACCTGTGTCCATCCACTCCCTCCTCACCACTGTGGGAATGTCCATGTCCTCCAGGCTGTTCCACAGGGTGATGAGAATGAGGTTCTGCAGGAAGGGGATGAAAGGCCTAATGAGGGGTTTATCCCATGCGAGCCTGATATTGGAGGAAATGTCAGGAGACCAGGAATCTCGGGGAAGCTAGCCTCTTGTCTCTTGTTTACATTTTCTTTTTTTTTTTTGCTTTTTGGATCACACCTGGTGATGCACAGGGGTTACTCCTGGCTCTACTCTCAGGCGTTATTCCTGGCAGTGCTCAGAGGACCATATGGGATGCTGGGAATCGAACCCAGGTTGGCTGTGTGCAAGGCAAACGCCCTACCTGCTGTGCTATCTCTCCAGCCCCCTCTTGTTTACTTTAGAGGTCACTTACCCAGGGCATGAGGGATGAGGTGCAGGAAGGCATCTCCTAGGAGCCCACCCGAGGCAAAACTAAGCAAGATCTGGAGCAGAGAGCGATGCCGGGGGGAGTTTGACTCCACAGGTATGAGAAAGAGGACAAAAAATGGGGCTGCAGATATCAGCACTGTGGCGCCTAGTGCCTGGGGAGAGAGAGAGGGGGTCAAGTGGTACAGGGATTCACAACAATCCAGAGCCATCCCCTCCCCCCATTCCCTGGGGACTCACATAGGCCCAGAGAGTGACACTGTCCATGTTCTGCTTGATGCCTGGAGCCCTAGACTCCCCAAAGCTTCCATGGCTGTGCTCATGGCTATGGCCACGGTGCATGTCCTCATGTGAATGTCCATGGTCGTGACCGTGGGTGTGCCCGTGCCAGATGCTTTCGTGACTGTGTCCATGGCCATGGTCATGGCTATGTCCATGGCCATGGGCATGGCTGTGTCCATGGTGGAAATCCTCATGTGAATGCCCGTGGCCGTGGCCATGGAAGTTCTCGTGCAGATCGTCGTGCGGGTCTCCGTGACCCCCGTGTCCGGCCACTAGCAGCCCCAAGGCCGCCCAGATCAGCAGTCCCACGGCGACCCTGTAGGGGGGCCCCAGGCCTCTGGCCATCACGCTGACCAGAGGGACAGAGACAGTGACTCCACTTGACCCTCAACACCCATACGGGCTCCACACATGCCCGTCATCCACTTCCAAGGCTCATGCCCCCCCGCCCCCCGTTCCATTCTGTCTCCACCCACGGCTCGTTCTTTTGATCCCGCAGTCCCTCCCGGATGTAGGGCCCCCGGGACACCGTTCTAGGCTTAGATCCTCCACTCTAGGGACTCTCTGGGCCCACGTCTCTATGACCCACCACGTGCGGGGAGCGGCCTGGGGAAGGACGGTCGCGAAAAGCAGGGAAGTCTCACCGGCCCCGGGATCCTCTTCTTTCCCGGTTTGCTCGGACGTGGCAGTCACGCCTCTAGCTCCCGCGAGAAGAGGAAGTTCCGTTCCGTCCCCGTCCCCGACCCCTTTACCAACATGGAGGCGCTCGGGCAGCGGAGCGGCGCCGGGCGGCGGCGCGCATGCGCGGGCGTGGGGGCGGCGGCGGCGGGCCGGGCCGGGCCGCTCACAGGCCCGCCGCGGCCGAGGGGGCGGGCCCCGGCGCCGAGACTTCCCGTCTGTACCAACATGGCTGCCGCGGCGGCGCTGTCATTTTGGTACCGAGCGGAGCGCAGCGTGTAATCCGACCCGGTCGAGGCCAGTCTCTTTCTCGGTTTTGCTTTCCCTCGGGGTCTCCCTCGTGCTCGGCTAGTCCCCCGGCAGCCCCCGGGGGCCCCCGGGCCCCTCGGCATCCCCGCGCTCGGCCGGGCGGCATGTCCTGGGCCGCGCGCCCGCCCTTCCTCCCGCAGCGGCATGCCGCGGGGCAGTGTGGGCCGGTGGGGGTGCGAAAAGAAATGCATTGTGGGGTCGCGTCCCGGTGGCGGCGGCGGCGGCCCTGGCTGGATCCCGCGGCGGCGGCGGCGGCGGCGGCGGCGGGAGACCCACAAAGCCCGGAGCCGGAGCCGGGGGAGGCTGGACGGGACGGGATGGGCGACAGCGGGCGGGGTGAGTGTCCCGGCGGACGGGCTGGCGGGCCAGTGGCCGCGTTATCTGCCCCCTCCCCCGCGCCTGGCCGCGTCCCCGGCGCTCCCGCCCCCTTGTTTGTAAACACGCGTCTCCTCCCGGGGCCCCAGCGCCCTGCCCCCCGGGGCGGGGCGGGGCGGGGGCGCCGCCGAGCCCGAGGCCCTGCGCGCCCGCTCCCCCGGCTCGAGGACTCGGCATTTGCAGGCGGGTCCCGAGCCCTCGGAGGGGTGTCGGGCGCCTGTCCCTTTCCCGGCACGTCCCGGCTCCCAAGCTGGACGTGCAGGGGCCACTTGCGCCAGCCACCCACGTGCCGCTTGACCCCCCGAGAAGCCGCTGGCTTTGGGGTGACCAGATGCGTTATTCTGATTTTTTTCTCGCCTGAACTGCCCTCCTCTCCCCTGGGGACCCCCCTCCTCGCCACAACGGGGACATCGGCTGTTGAGTGATAACAGGGTGTCGCTGGACTCGGGATGAGTGCGCTGGGCTGGCGTGGCGCGGCGGGCAGAGGGCAATTGGAGTTGGATGATGAAGTGAAAACTCATGTTCTCTTTTTGTCTCCTGTCTTGTGTGTGTCTGTGCTTTCGTGTACCCCTCCCTCAGACTCCCGAAGCCCAGACAGTTCCTCCCCCAACCCCCTTCCCCAGGGAGCCCCTCCCGCTTCTCCTCCCGGGCCCCCCCTACCCCCTTCTGCAGCGGCATCCCTTGGAGGCTCAGGGGCCCCACCCCCAATGCCCCCCCCCTCCCCTAGGCTCCCCCTTCCCTGTCATCAGCTCTTCCATGGGCTCCCCTGGCCTGCCCCCTCCAGCGCCCCCTGGATTCTCCGGGCCTGTCAGCAGCCCCCAGGTGAGAGGTTGGGGGGGGGGGGCGCTCTTTAATTCCTCTCCACTTTAATTTCTCTCTGGCCCTGGCGACCCACTGACTTTCCCACCCTTTGAGATCTGTGGTCTGGGGGCAGCCCTGCCCTTTTAAGGTGACTGACCTTTCATTGCATGCTACCTTCCGCATACTCTGAAGAAACCCGGACATTCGTTCTTCTGGTTAATGGAGATCTGAACCATTCAGGGCCGGTGTTACAGTTTCAGGGAGTCTAGTCTCTTGGGGGTCTTGCCCCAGGGGTGGTCCTACTCACAGAGTGGTGTAGCTGGTGCCCTCTGGAATGTGTAGTGAAGGGGATGGGGGTGGGGGGAGTAGGAATGGTCCCTTTCCTCTTGTGACCTCTCTGTTTCCCCACCCCCCCATCCCAGATTAATTCAACAGTGTCGCTCCCTGTGGGTGGGGCTGGCCCCCCTGAAGATGTGAAGCCACCAGTCCTAGGAGTCCGGGGCCTGCACTGTCCACCGCCCCCTGGTGGCCCTGGAGCTGGCAAACGACTGTGTGCAATCTGTGGGGACCGAAGTTCAGGTATGGGGCTCAGAGCATCATCCGGAGGGGAGAAGTGTGCCGTTCAACTCCCCCCAAGGGGTCCCTTGGGCTGGAGGGGTTACCTTGGAGCCAGCAGGCTGAAAACACCTGATGAGTGTGCTGGAACCTGCAGCCCAGAAGTGGGCAATGAGGAGGAAGGAGGGGTGGGGGGCTCTTGTCAGGTCAGTGAGCAGCGAGGAGGGGATGGGACTGCATCATCTCTGGTGTCTGAGTGCCCTGCTCTGTTTGATGAAGACCGAGAAGACAGACTCTGTGTGTGTGTGTGTGTGTGTGTGTGTGTGTGTGTGTGTGTCTGTGTGTGGTCTGCACACAGCCTTTTTGCTGCTGTTTCGTCCCCATGCAGGCAAACACTATGGGGTTTATAGCTGTGAGGGCTGCAAAGGGTTCTTCAAGCGAACCATCCGTAAGGACCTGACCTACTCGTGTCGAGACAACAAGGACTGCACGGTGGACAAGCGCCAGCGGAACCGCTGTCAGTACTGCCGCTATCAGAAGTGCCTGGCCACGGGCATGAAGCGGGAGGGTAAGGGCCTGCCCCCTCTCAGCCTTCGCTGGGCCCCGGGAAATGAGGGGGAACTTTCAGACTCTCAGGGAAAAACGGCACTGTTTTTTTCCTCTCTGTCCTCCAGGGGGCGGTATTTGATTTCTCATGTCTCTCTACCCTGTCAGCTCATCTTCCTGGTTCTTGGACCTGGTCTAGTTGGCCACCTGAGTTTCCTTTTTAATGGTTCTGCCTTGTTTGCCTCCCTGGTCTGCTGTAGGGAAGGATGACTTGTCTTCTTCAGTGGTGGGACTTCTCTAGTTGCCCTTCCTCCCCCCTCTTTTTTTCGGCGGGGAGGGGAGAATCACACCCAGCGATGCTCAGGGCTTACTCCTACACTCAGGAATTATTCCTGGTGGTGCTGGGGATGCTGGGTATCGAACCAGGGTCAGCTGCGTGCAAAGCAAGTGCCCTACCCACTGTACTATGGCTCTGACCCCCTCTTCTTGACCCAGTGTTCCCTCTCTGGTCCCCATCTCCCTGTTGTCTGTAGTCTCTTCTCCAAACTGGGAGTCGACCCTTGTAAGCGGCAGACTTTACTGAAGACTTGCCTGCCTTCTCTTTCTTAAGTCTCCTTCTGGAATTCTGAGAGAGATACTTGGGAGAATCTCTTGGTCCAATCCCTGATTTAGAGAGGGTGAGTGTGAGGGCTGCTTAGCCAGGGTCGTCAAGTGAAGAGTGGCAGGGCTGGGGTCAGACTCTATCTCTGATGACCCCGGACACTGCCTTGCCTTTAGTCGCAATGCTGGATTCGCATTTGATTCAGATGTGACTTGCTGTGTAATGTGTAAACGTGGACAAGCTGTTTAACTCCCTAAGCCTCGGACTCTGTAACAAATGGGGACCGGGATGGAGAACGAGTGCAGGGGTAAGGCTTTCGACAGTTCCATCCCTGGCACTAGGTACAGTCCCCTAGTACCGATAGGAGTACGGACGGGTGGGTGTGGCCCCAAAAGAACAACAACAACAAACGGAGACAAATAACAGGTCCCTTGCAGTGATTGGATGAATGTTACAGCGTGCGTGGCACATTTCCTAGCATGTTGTAGGGTCTCCACGTAAATAGCAGTTTTTTTAATTTTTCTAATTCCTTTACTCTCCCTTTTCTTTCTTGGACACCGTCTCCGTTGTTTCCGTGACGTACCCACTTTCTGCAACTATTCCTACAAACATCTATGAGCCACGAGACCCTGAGAGTCCTGAGGACAGTCTGGGAGCCCCTGAGGGCTGACTGCTGATTTTCTACTTTTTCTTCTCCCTTCTTCCCTAGCGGTACAGGAGGAGCGTCAGCGGGGGAAGGACAAGGACGGGGATGGGGAGGGGGCTGGGGGAGCCCCCGAGGAGATGCCTGTGGACAGGATCCTGGAGGCAGAGCTGGCTGTGGAGCAGAAGAGTGACCAGGGCGTTGAGGGTCCCGGGGGAACCGGGGGTAGCGGCAGCAGCGTGAGTGATGGGTTCAGTCCACTCTCCTTCCTGGTGGGGGCGCGGGGGGCAGGAACTGAGGTCTCTCTCCCCCTCCTCTCCCAACTAACACGGCCTGGGCCTGGAAGCGCTGTCAGACACGGTCTGTCAGACATCTGAGGCGGGGGTGTAGCTTCCCAGTAACCCACTGGCAGAGCCAAAGGCAAGTCCCAAGTCTTCGTTGGAAGAGAAGGCCTGATGGGCAGGAATTGCTCTAGGTGGGGATTGAAGAGAGCCTGAGTGTAGGGAGGGAGTGTCAGCCGCCTCTAACAAGTGTGGGGGGACTTTCGGTGTACCTCCAAGCCCTTTGTGACCCTCACGTTCGTCTGCTGCAGCCAAACGACCCCGTGACTAACATCTGTCAGGCCGCTGACAAGCAGCTGTTCACCCTGGTTGAGTGGGCCAAGAGGATCCCACACTTTTCCTCCTTGCCTCTGGATGACCAGGTCATATTGCTACGGGCAGGTCAGTGCCCTTGACGTTTGTCCCCTTGCTGGTGTCCTTCAGTCCCCGCATCCGAGCTGAGTTCACTGGCCCTGCCGCTTCTTTTCCTCTCCCCCTGCCTGATGCGCTTGTGGTCCCGGGGCCTGATCTCCGGCGTCTGCCCCTTGCTGCCCCCCTGCCCAGGCTGGAACGAGCTGCTCATTGCCTCCTTTTCCCACCGATCCATTGATGTCCGGGATGGCATCCTGCTGGCCACGGGGCTTCATGTGCACCGCAACTCTGCCCATTCGGCCGGCGTGGGAGCCATCTTTGACCGGTCAGTGGCCGTCCGCTAGGTTGCTGTGTAGGTGGTGGGGGTGGTGCTTATAGACTGGTCCGTGTCCAAGGCTGGCTGAGCTGTGACCTTTGAGTGACCTGCAGGTCCCTCTCCAGGGTGCTGACAGAGCTAGTGTCCAAAATGCGTGACATGAGGATGGACAAGACAGAGCTGGGCTGCCTGCGGGCAATCATTCTGTTCAATCCAGGTAAGAGGACTAACCCTTGGCGCCCCCTATTCTCCGGAGACGACTCAGGTCCCCAGCTAGCCCCTCAGTAAGACCCTCAGCTCAGGTGCTCCCATGACCACTGCTACATCCCCTCTTTGACCCTGTCCCGTGACCCCAGCATGCCCTACAAGCCAGGCGTCTAGTGACGGGCAAGTCAGTAGGGCCCGAAAGGGGTGCACGTATGTTTTGATTTAACGTGTTGTCCTTGTCCTCTGCTCTGCTGTCCTAGATGCCAAGGGCCTCTCCAACCCCAGTGAAGTCGAGGTCCTGCGGGAGAAAGTGTATGCGTCCCTGGAGACCTACTGCAAACAGAAGTACCCGGAGCAGCAGGGACGGTGAGAGCTGGGGGCTCTGGGCAGGGGGTAGGTGGGGGGGGGCATCTGCAAGAGGGTGTTCTAGCTCTCAGCTGCTTCTCCTCTCCCCCTCAGGTTTGCCAAGCTGCTGCTACGTCTTCCTGCCCTCAGGTCCATCGGCCTTAAGTGTTTAGAGCACCTGTTTTTCTTCAAGCTTATTGGCGACACCCCCATTGACACTTTCCTCATGGAAATGCTGGAGGCTCCCCACCAGCTGGCCTGAGCCAAGACCCATATCCAGGACCGGTCCTGGGGCTGGTGTTGGAGGCGTGTACTGGCTACAGGGATGCGGAGCCTGGAGGCGCGCTGGGGAGGGCCTGGGTCCTAGAAGGTCCTAGAATCTTGGTGGGTGCGGAGGAGGCACGGAATTGAGACCTCTGGGAGGGGTTAGGTGGGGTCTGTAAAGTCTCTGAGGGTTTTCTCCATGCCCCACGTCAGAGGGGCTCTGACCCCCGCGAGGACTGGACCTCTCCAGTGGCCTTGAGGCTCTGAATCTGTCTGGGGCTCCCACGATTTGGGGTGATTCCTTAACCCTGGCCTGGAATGATTTCTCCCCTTCCCCCAGCACAAAGCACTGGCCTTGCGCAGGAGTTTGCTTCCTTCTCATCTTCCTTTCCACTAAACCCCCTCTGAAGAGTGGCAATGGGAACTCCCCAGAGATGGCCGTTGGGGGGCAGGCCCCCCAGCTGAGGATGTGGGAGTAGTGCTCCCACAGTTCTTCTCTCTCGCCCAGCCCAGCAGACGGGCTGCTCTGGAGGAGGGCGCTGGGGGTCCCCCGCACCCTGCGTCCTGTCCTGTCCACCGTGCCCGCTCTCACTTTACCTCTTGCAGTCAGACTGAAAGAAAAGGGTGGTGGCGGGGGCGCTGGTGGAGACCAGGAACTGGTCTGCTTTCTCATTTCCTCAGAGGATAGAGACTTGCAGTTAGACTCAAAGAAGTACTGTACTTTCCCGGTCTGGCGGAGACGTGCGTGGGGCAGGAGGGGGTCGCGCCGCGTTGCTGCCCTTGAACCCTCCCAGCACCGGCCTCCCGCGGGGAAGGGGCTGGGGAATGCTTTGGTGAGCAGACCCCCCCACCCTTTCGGCACCCCGGGTCCCCGCCGTGTGGTCGGGGGCACCGCGGAGCCTCGGAATCGAGGGGAGACCGCCTGCCCACCCGCCAAGCGGGGTGCCGGGGCTGCATGACTTCCGCCCGGCAGCCCTCTCCCGGGGTCCTTTTCCCCACACTTTGACTCACATAAAATCGCTTTCAAATTAAAAATCGCTGTTTTCTCGACTGAGGTTGACTCCTGGGGGCGGGGGGGGGGGCGCCGCCGCCGCGGGTGGGGGACAAGGCGCGCTTTGTGGGGCGGGCGCGGAGCGGGGGTGCCCGCGGGGCGGGGCCGCGCTCAAAGGCGCCTTGTTCGGCCGCGCGCGCCCCGCGCCAGCGGGCGGCGGCGCCTGGGCTCGCTCGCGGCGGCTCCGCCCGCGGCCCGGCACGCCCGCCCGTGGGGGCGCCCCGGGCGCGAGCCCGTCCCCGCGTGACCCCGCTCCCCGGGCCTCCGGCGCCTCCGCGGCGTCCGGGCCACCCGGACCCCCGGAGCCTGTCCCCCGTTCGCGCCCCCTCGGGCCCGTCCCGTCTCCCCGCCCCGGGGCCCCCCGCGCCGTCGGGCGGGCGGCGGTCGGCTCGCTATCTATAGCCGGTCTATAAATACCCGGCCCGCGGCTCTGTAATTACGGCGGGCCGGGCGGGGGTAATTACGGAGCCCTGATACCGGGAGCCGCGACCCTCCGCCCGCCTCGCCCCTCCCACCGTGCCCCGGACCCCTCCCGGGCTCTGATGCGCGGGGGCTTCGCGCAGGCTGCGGGAGGGCTGGGACTGGACGTCTGGGTTCTAGAAAAGGGGCTGGGGTCCCTGAAAGGAGAGTCTTGGGGCTCCGGGTCGTGGACTCCCTGCCAGGGCCGGGCGGGGTTCCGAGGGGCGGCGGGGACCGGTCCCCGCCCCTTCCCAGGTGGAGGCCGAGGGTGGGGTTTCCCCGCGGTGCAGTGGGCGGGCGGCCGGGGGCGGGGGCTGGGCCGGGGGCGGAGGGAGTCGGGGGCTCGGGCCGCCGGGGTGGCTGGGGACACACAGGAGCGGCGGCCACCGAGGAGGGAGCAGCGTCCGAGCCCCGACGGCGCCTCGCTGCATGGAGCTGGGCAGCTGAGCGCCGTCGCCGCCCGACAGCCTCTCACCTCCCGGGCCGGGCGCCCGAGGCTCACCCCCCAGGCTCTCCGGTCCCCCGACGCCCGCAGCCCCTGGGTCCCGGGGACCCGGTGCCGGGCGCCAACCATGGAGCGGTGCGGCCGCTGCCACCGCCTGGTCCTGCTCGTGCCTCTGGTGCTGGGGCTGAGCGCCGCCCGGGCCTGGGCAGGTAAGACGCTGGTGAGACCCGAGCACCCCTCAGGCAGGAGGCGGCCGGTGATGCTTCTCCCCCAGAGGGGTTTTGGGGGCCCGGCTGGCGTGCAAGACCGCTGGGTCTCAAGGAGCCAGGGGAGGGTTCTCTTTGCTTCTTGGAAAGCAGGTGGAAAGGTTGGGGTTCGCCTTCTAGACAGGGTGGGATGCTGGCGCCTCCTGCGGAGCTGAGGACAGCAGGGGCTGAAGTGGTCCAGCTGGCCCTTGGCTATCAGTGAGGAGGGCGCCCGGTGTGGGAGCCACTCCCGAGCCTGCTGCGTATGCCCAGGGAGACGAGGGTGCCAAGGAGCTCAGAGCAGACCCCAGCAAGCAGGATGGCAGGGGTGCCTGCGCTATTCGTCTCCCCGGCAGGATCCCCTTCCCCCTCCCTGTGCCCTCGATGCTGCCACGCGGCTGGCTCTGGGGAGCACTGGGCGGGCTGCCAACAGGACGGCTGCTGGACAGGCCAGGATCAGGTGTCCAGGCAGGGGCCAGCTCCGTGCATTCCTGCCCGCCCCTCCCCCGCCGCTAGCCGGGCTTGGATGGGTGTGTTGGTGGGGGGGGGAACCCCAGTATCCACAGCTCAGATCCTTTTCCCTGGAAAGCCCAGTAGTCCTGGCTCCTGGGAAAGGGGCTTTGCCAGTGGGAGAGGAGAACCCGGCAGCCCCCGAGTCCCGAAGACACCAGAAGCTGATTTGCATATAACTCAGTTATTCCAGTTTTTCTCTGCTGGGATGGGGCAACAGGCAGAATGAGCTCCTAAAGAATTGAGGTTGGACTCCAGAAGGAAGAACTCTGAGGTTGTCTGGAGCTGGAGTTCGGGGACGAAGACTGTCAGCAGACTGGGGAGTGGGGTGTGCCAGGGCGGGGGGAGGGAAAAAGGGGTGCTCTAGCAGAGGCCAGGAGGGGGGCCCCATGGGTGGGCAGACAGGAGACTGACTTAGTGTGGGATTCATGAGAGGGGAGTGTGGGGCATTGGGGAGTACCAACGGTGGAGTGGTGGGGGGTGATGGGCACCTGAAGTGGAGGGAGGGAGGCCCCTCTGCGGCTGGAGGAGGAGCTGGGCAGGGCTGTGGGCAGGTCTCTCGGATGGACCCGACTCTCCTGGGGTTTGGGGGGAGGTGGGGGCCTCTGACGGCCCCTTGCCCAGGGTCTCTGTGAGTCTCTGTGTCTCTGTCTCACGGAGTCTCCATCTCTCAAAGCGGCCCTTGTGTGCTTGGTGTTTGCAGAGCTGCCGCACGCCGGGGCCAGGCTAGGGCGGGGTGTGGGGGGGCCAGAGGGGGAGGTAAGGCCGCGGTTTCCCGGCTCCTGGACTCTCAAAGGGCCTTTTTTCTGCCTGCCCGCACCACCTCAACACCGACGCCCCCCGCCCCCGCCCCCCCAGCTCTGCTCTCCTGATTGCTCTGGCCCCTGTCCTGCCCCACATTTCTATGAAAGTGTTGCTGGAATTTCTTTGGGATTTTTCCGATTTGAAGCTGATGGTATGGGGAGCATGTCTCAGGGAGCAAGTGGGGAAGAGGTGACCTTTGTCTCGCTACCCCCCACCCCAACCCCTCGTTCAAGTTGGAGATCCCTGAAGCTAAATTCTGTCCCTAGGAGAGGGTTGGGGGTGGGCTTGAATCTTTGCCTCCCGAGTGGTGGGCAGGGCTGGGGTTCCAGGTTGCGGGGCCGGGAGGGGGATGCTGCCCGGGTTTTGGGCACAGGCTCTGATGGGATCCACAGATGTGTGGCTCAGGGCCCTGGACCTGCTCCGGCTCCGCGTGGCAGCTGCAGCTCCCCCACCCCCAATGCCAGCCCTTCCCCCAAACCTGGGGCTCACGCTCCTGGGGTGCTCTGGTTTGCATCTTCTTTGCACGCTCAGAGTTGTCGCAGATGTGGACATTGTGGCAGCCTGAAGCCCCCCTGCCCTGGACGGCTGCCCCCTCCCCCCATCTCCTATGCCCAGGATGATCGATTGCCCAGATGTTGTTTGTGCTGGAGACACAGGCCAGAGGCCAGAGACTCAGAGACTGAGAGATATGGAAAGGGAGTGAGAGACGGGGAGAACAATGGAAAGAAAGGGATGGACAGAGTGTGAGAGAAATGAGGAAAGACAGGAGAGATGGGGGTGGGGGCCAGGACAGCCAACAGACACCGAGACCGAGAGAGAAAAAAAGAGAGGGAGAAGAGGCAGAGCGATAGCACAACGGGTAGAGAATCTGCCTTGCACGTGGCTGGCCCAGGTTCCATCTCTGGCACCATGTATGGTCCCCTGAGCCTGCCAGGAGTAATTCCCGAGCACAGAGCCAGGAGTAACTCCTGAGCATCACTGGGTGTAGCCCCAGAACAAACAAACAAAATAATTAAAGCTAGAGGGAGACGGGGTGGAGAGCTGAGAGACAGGAGCAGAGACGAGCAGAGACGAGAGCATGAGGGAGAAGGAGGCTGGCACACGGGTGGAGCCAATACAAGGCCTGCGGGGCCCTTCCCAGGGCCCTTTCCTCGCCATCCATTCAGACCCACTTCCGGAGCGAGCAAGGGAAGGGGCCCTTGGCTTTGCAGGGAGTTTGAACCCCGGAAAGCGGAGGGCTAGCCCTCAAGTGTCTCTTCCCTAGGGCCATTTGCCTGAGGGGACATCATCCCTCTAATCTTCACGGACTCTCTCAGGTGCACCCCCTGTGGATGTGCTCAGGGCTCTGAGGTTCCCCTCCCTCCCTGATGGTGTTAAAAAGACTCGAGGCATCTGTCCAGCCGATGTGGCCTACCGAGTCGCGAGACCTGCCCAGCTCAGCGCACCCACCCGCCAGCTCTTCCCAGGTGAGGCTGTGGTGGGAAGGTGGGGACTGGGCCAAGGGGAAGGCCTTGGGTTCTCTTTGCCTCTGACTCCACTTGTGCGTGTCTCTCTTGGGTACCAGGAGGCTTCCCCAAAGATTTCTCTCTGCTGGCTGCTATCCGGACCCGCCCTGGCCTGCAGGCTCCTCTCCTGACTCTCTACAGCGCCCAGGGTGCCCGCCAGCTGGGCCTGGAGCTGGGCCAGCCTGTTCGCTTCCTGTATGAGGACCAGACAGGGCGGCCCCAAGCCCCGGCCCAGCCAGCGTTCAGAGGCCTCAGCCTAGCGGACGGCAAGTAAGTCATTTTGCACCTCTAGCTCTCGGGCGGATGCTTTCAGTAACTTCCTTTTAACCACTACCTCAGACTCCTCTCCTCCTTAAATTTGGAAATTCCATCAACTCTTTTGGCGATGCTTCATGACAAACAGACAAACATCAGTCACTGCTAGCTCAGAGCTCAACCGTCCCAGTTTAAATTCTTGGGCTGGAGAGGTAGGGTAGTAGGTAAGGGGCTTACCTTGCACATGGCCAAACCAGGTTCAATCCCCAACACCTCATGGTCCCCTGAGTTCACCAGGAGTGCTCCCTGAGCATAGGGTCAGGAGTAATCCCTAAGTAATGCCTGGTATGGCCCCAAACCCACTCTCTAAAAACCAAATTCTTGCAGGGAGTAGTAGCCTGTATCTTGGGCACTTTTTTTTTTTTAGCTTTTTGGGTCACACCCAGCAGTGCACAGGGGTTACTCCTGGCTCATGCACTCAGGAATTGCTCGGGGGACCATATGGGATGCTGGGAATCGAACCCGGGTTGGCCACGTGCAAGGCAAACGTCCTACCCACTGTACTATCACTTCAACCCCATTGGGCAAGTTTTTCAAATTTTCTTTTAAGCCCAGTTTCTGTGTCTATAAAAGTGGGAAGACAGAATTTCAAGAATCAAATGAGAAAACTACTGTACAGCACTGGGTGTTTTGTAAGCACTCATTAGCTTTTCTCTTTTGCTGTTTTACTTATTTGTTAGCAATT